TGTCGTGTACAAATCAAGCAGTATTTCAGATATTGCAGGGTCCCAGAATAGGTTTAGGTGAGTTCATTGAGAAGACCCTGGAATATGGGATCCAGCTTTTAGGGAAGTAGATAGTGGTCTTGGAATGTAGTGAAAGTGAAAAACAACAATATAAACAACCATCATAAGATGAGGTCCAGGCAAGAATCCTCTATAGGGATTTGAGAAAGGAGCAGGGCATATTTGGGCAAACAGGATGGTTGACGGCCAACAATGATTCCAGACAGATTGCTGATGGAGGGGTGGGCCAGAGAGCCTGGGAGGCCGAGGAGATAAGTGAGAGAGGTACCTAAGCAGTATCGAATTAAGAAAATCCAAGTCCACCACGTCTCTTTGTCATTATTCAAAGGCTGCCGACTTGCCTAAAAGAGAACTGAGGCAATGTCTGCCAGGTAGAGGTGCGGAAGCTTAGTTTTCCTTGAAGAAGCAAAGCTCTGCTGAACTCGTTTATGAGATTCCTGCCAGACAAGTGCTGGGACCTGGCTCTCGGGGGATGGCTTGTGCCTTAAAACCTCTGGGGCCTCAGCTTTCCAGAACAGTGGGCATAGGTCAGAGGAGTTAGGGGTTGTCATGGAGAGGGAGTGCGTGAGAAAGGCCTGTGCCAAAAGGCTGTGCCTTCCCATTGCTCCGCTGGGCATGAAGCCCTTCTTGGAGATGTGTTTATAACTCATTAAAGAGCCCTCAGACTTGGACGGCACTTTGACGGCAGTGGTGGGAAATGGTTTTCTGAGGGAAAGCCTGCCGCATTGCCTGTGGCTGCATCTTCCAGTTGTCTGCACTGGCTTGGCTCTTCGTCTCTCCTTCCTGACCCTGGGCTGGTCTCCACAGCTGCTGCTTTTCTCGTCAGTGGCAGTGAGATGGGAGAGCTCAAACGGCCTGGCCGGGCAAGATGCTCTCGGAGGCACGTGGAAATCACCAGTAGGGGGCAGCCCAGCATGCTCCTTAGTCTTCTGGTTTCTGTCCAGGGGCTCTGGGGCAGGGAGCAGAAGCCTTTTAGACTGTTTGCCTTTTGGGTGGTCCAAGGAACCAAGAACTTGAGCCCAGGGGTATTTGTCCACCTAGTAACTGAGACGCCCTGGGTCCAGCTTCCCTGCTGTCATTTCCCTTGTATGGCTTTCACTGTCTCTCTTTCTCTATTTCAGTCCTTCCCTTCTTCCCGCTCTCCCTCCCTCCCTTCCCTCCTTCCTTCTTTCTTTTTTCTTCATCAAGTTAAAAAATTCAAAAAAATATAATGACATAATACTTCATGTACTTGTATTCAGAACTGACGCTTTAACATTTTTGTCTTTTTTGTTACATCTTTTTAAATAAATAGCTTAGTAATTTAATAAATAAATATTTTAACAGTTTAAGTTTCTTTATCCCAGGCCTATTCTCCTTTCCCAAGGTGACCTTCCTTGCAATCTTCTTTTTATAACTTTACAAATATCCTTGGCTATGAACATGATGTGGTATCGTTTTCTGTGTATTTTTAAAAGTTCACATAAATTGTTTTGTATTATGTGTACATATCACTATGCAATTTAGGCTATTTTTCTTTCTCACTTAGCATGAAGATCTCTTTCTGCTCAAATATAAAGATCTGGTTCAGTGCAACTTGTTTATTTTACACACCTTATTTTTTTCTGTTTCTTAATCGATAGACACTGGGTTGTTTCCAACTTTCGATCCTGACCGTAGTACAGTGAATATTCTTGTACATGTCTCCTTAGGTGCATGTGTGAGAATTTCTCTCAGGTGAATACTCAGAAGTGGAATTGCTTGGCTATAAAGAGTACCAATTTATAATTTTCCAGGATACCAGCGAATTGCTCTTCAGTGTGGTTGTACCAATTTATACTCCCTCTAACAATGTAAGAGAAATCCTCCACATCCTTAGAAATGCTTTATATTGTAACTTTAAACATTTTGTCCATCTAGTGGGAGAGGAATGGTATGTCCTTGTTTTAATTTGCATTTCAGATTCCTTGTGCGGTGAGCAGCTTTTCATATGTTTCTCGGCCATTGAGGTTTCCTCTCTGTGAATTGTCTGTTATTAACTTTACTGGCTTCCATTCTAATCCTGTGATTTCTCAGTTAATGGGAGCTAAGGAGAGTTTCTTAAGTGGTAGGTTTCACGAGCACTTTATCGCCAGCCTGCATATTGTGGGCATCTCTGCAGATGGTAACTTATGAAAGGGAATTCTTGGCATCTGGAGGGGCACGTACCCCCCTTTTAATACAGCTCTTCTGTTGGTTTTTCCATTTTGACCAGGAAAAAAATTCATTATTTATTTGGTACATTCCTCCCTCCACAGTGAAACAATGTACTCTAGTGACCATTTTTCGTAATTTCACATGGTTCTTTTGACGGTTTTCAGCAAAATCTTCTGTCTGGTCTTACATCCAAGAACAGTTATGCTTTGCTTAATGTCTGACATTTTCATCTCATGAACGCTATGAATTTAGCACTGACTGAATAGATCCCCTTTCCTTCTTTTCTTGGGCATTTGTAACTAGAAAGCTTAGAATTAAGCTTGTGGCCTTTTCCGAATGAGTGTATGCATTTTAAACCTAATTCCTAGCTCCGCAGTATCTCTGCTCTTGCTTTTTTTTTGCTTCTGTGCCTTCCAGTTTTATTTAGGTTAGCTCTTTGTATTTTATTGAATACAACTTGGGAGTTTATAAATTAAAAATCTGATGAAAAATGAAATAAAAATAAAATAAAGGGCATAAATAAAGGAAAGTTAAAGGTAAATGCTCTGTGCCACAGATGTTGGTTAAGTCCCTACTGAGTGTCAGGCCCGTAAGCATGGAGGATGCAGTGATGATCCAGGAGAGAGTTGAAGAACTCAGATGGTTTCAGGACGGTGACAGCCACCACCCTTGCTCAGCTGTAGGGAGTGGACAGGCTTCACTGGAAGTCCTGGTTGTGACCCCAAAGGAAACCCTGCCCACATTATCTACCTTTTTTTTGCTGCAGTTGCACGGAAAAAAAGCATTAAAATTTAGAATTCTCTGGAATACAGTTCTTATTGGGAGATAATTTAGAAGAGGGAGGTCACTGTGGTGTCTATAGAAAATGTTAGTGGAATGAAAATCTTGGGAAAATGTACCTAAAGTGTGCTAATTTTGAAACATTTCATAAAAACTCTTAATGTTGAAAATTGTTATTTGAGCATTAGGTTGGAATCTTAAAATGTTTTCTTCTATGTGTGGGACAGGGATAGAAAGGAATGACTCCTTCCTGCACATCTATGAAGTGCCACACCCTGGGTATCAGGGAGTACCAAGATCTTTGAGCAGAAGATGCTCTGCTGTCGTGGAGGTTGCTTTTTTTATGTAACAGGGGACCATGTTTATGTGGGTCCTTTTAAAACTATTTCTCTTTAGTGTAATTTTGTTCCCTCAGAGCATTTACTAAATTTATTTCTAAAATTCATTTTCTACATGTGGGTGCCACAACCCTTACCATATATCTTGATATCTTTTTAATCTTTTATTGGATTGGGTAGAAGGGAGCTATAGATGCTGTATCTTCTCCCTCATTGGTTGCTATATTTTTCATTTTGACTCTTCTTGGTAACAGCAGGGCTACATATTTGTTTTTTGTCTTAATTGAACTATGTTATGTATCTTGAATTTTTTGAAAAAGGGGAAAATCCATCCTAGCACAACTTCCTATAGTGCCTTTGGAACTCCAAGTGTTGCCCATCCATCCATCCATCCATCCATCCGTTTGTCCATCCGCCCATCCTTCATCCTTTGAATATCTACCTTGTGTAAGGTACTTTGCTAGGTGCTGTGGTGTATATTAAGAATTATAAAACAAGATCCAGCTGTTGTGTCTTTAAAGAGGTTGTGATCTAAGAAAAGTGAATAGAGAGGTACTCAGATAACTGTAGCACAAGGAGATTCCATGGTGGTAGTTTTAGCAGCTTTGTCTTATAGTACTAGGGATTTTATTGCTTGCAAGTGACAGAAATTCAGATCAAACTTCTGTTAGTGACATCTAACCTCAGAGATGGAGGGATCCAAAGGCTAAAGTGGCATTTTTAGGGTTCTATCTCTCTTTAATCTCTTAGCTCTCTTGCCTTCTGCGTGCTGACTTCATTCTTGGACAGTCTCTTTCCTTGTGGCAGAAAAATCCCCCATGGAAGCCCCAGGCCTGTGTAGTCTTTCAGCTGTGATCCCAAAGAAAGAGAGAGACTTGCTCTGTCCCGGCATTCATCTATTTAATTTCAGGGAAGATTCTCATTGGTCTAGTTGAGGTCACATGCACATCTCTGAGTCAGTCATCATGGCCAAGGGGATAGAATTCTCTGTCCAACCAGAGTCACCAGTTTACTCCTGTATTTGAGGGTTCGAGGGGTAGGGAAGAGGAATGTTCCTACAGGGAGTGCACTGGAGCCATGTGGGGTTTGTGAAATGGGCTTCCTGAAAGGAAAAATTGGTATTATTACTGACAAAGATGGAAAGAGGGGATGCTGGGCTAGGAAAAGAGAGAGTGGGGAGGAAGGGAGGGATGGAGGGAGGGAGAGAGAGAGAGAAAGGGGAGGGTAATCTGCTTCAGTATTTTCGGAGGTAAAAGGAGGGAGTGACTGCTGCTCCTGGAATGTGAGGAAGGATGTGATTTGTCTTGTCTGTGATGACGCCAGCATCCCTGTGGCTGTCACCATAGGGTAAAATGCCTTTGAGAGGTAGTGGATGCGTTTCCATTTATTTTCACCCCCCTACACAGTGTATGCCTTGAAAGGGGAGGCACACTGAACATTAAGAAAAAATGAAACCTGGTCAATCATGATTTCTTCTCAGTGGCACTCAGTTTTGCTCTCTTTGCTGTATTTTAAAAAAATGGTGGGGCTAGGGTGGGTGGGGAGGGGTCTCCTTGAGTACCCTGGTGAGGTTGGGTGGAAGTTACCCATTCTTTCGTGCGTTCCTACCTTCTGAGTCACTGGCTTTAACTCTCTGCTTTTTTGCAGTTACATTGCAAATCAGAAGAGGTTAGAAATCATCAACGAAGATGATGTTGAAGCTTACATGGGATTGAAAAACCTGTGAGTACTCAGGACTTGGGTACCTTACCTCAGAGCTTTTTCTTATGCTCTGTTATAGTCAGGTTGGCATTCATCAGTTAATTCTAACATACATGTGATTATGTGTTTTCATAGAACAATTGTGGATTCCGGATTAAAATTTGTGGCTCATAAAGCGTTTCTGAAAAACAGCAACTTACAGCACATGTAAGTAAAGGTTGATTCTTTTGTTTCCAAGGACCCAATTTATTCAATAATTTGTTCCTCTGTTTATTTTCCTTCTTTTCCAGCCCTAAACCTCCTTTTTTAAAGTTAGTATAGTTGTGATAATAGCTTAGAAACATTAGCTTTGATTTTGTTTGATTTCTGAATAGCTTCAGAGGGGTACTTAGAACAGCCTGTTTATTCCCTTTCATGAATTTCTGGGCCATTTCCATCTTGGACGGAGCAATAGGCCAACAGCAAGGAGTCTGATGTGAAAACTATGTCTTGGTACAACGTCCTTGATTCTTTTCCTTGGAATCATGACATGTTCCCTGGAAGACATCAAAACAGTGAATTGAAAGAGGCTGACTTGGCCTTGGCCTTTTTAGGGAACTAAAAATTATTAGTGCTTTTCCTCCCACAACAGATCTTCTTTTGAACCTTCATTTTCCCAAAGCTATCTGTCATGATTGAGAAAAGTGGAGAAAAATCAATCATGGGACATGCCAAAGGTCAGATAATTATTAACAATAGCAAATGTTTCCCCTAAAGTCATGTTGATGCTCTGTCGACTGAAGCCAGATGGAAATACGGAGAGTGGGAGCTCTGCGGATGTTTGCTCCTGGATTCTGTTAGGTGATGGCACGTAGTCAGTAGTGGCCTTCTTGAGAGGATTCTTCATTACACAGAGGATTACACACTCCTGAGCTCAGATTGGTGTCCCCATGGGGACAGTGGGAGCTTCTACTGGAGGAATGTTGTAAACATTCGTTGGCTCTTTTGTGCTTTGCAAATTCTCTGCAACAGTGCTTTTGTGTCTCATAGACTACAGTTTACTTATAAGACTCTCACCTGCATTATCTCCCTTGATTTTTCTGATGCTTGGTCAGGAAGATCTTTTTGATTCCCATTTCATAGACATAAAATCAGAAGGAGGAAGTTCTAGGACTTGCGCAGGTCCACAGATCGAAAGTGGCAGAATTATGACTCCAGGGCTCACTCCTGGCCGTGTTCCTACAATAAGAGTACAGGAAATAAAATTTGTGTCATCCATGTAGTTTGAGAATCAGCCCTTCTTGTAACATTTGTCCTCTTTCTTTTCTTCGGGAGAATAGTCCCTCAACTGATTTCCATGCCAGTTATAAAAGAAGTCATTCTCTTACAGCAGATTGCCTGGACACGCTATGGAGATTTGTTGATATTATGAAAAACCTTAACTTCATAAAGCCAGTATCGTGACTTCCTATTTTATAGGTGACATTAATGGTGAAGTCACTTTAAAACTAAAGTCTGTAGAGTTAAGATATAAAACATTAGGCAAAAATGTGATAAAACTCCAAGAACTTTATTAACACATTTCATTTCACTGCTTTTTGGCATCCTCTCTGTACTTGGTCTGCCTGCACAAATCTGATGTCTGCGTAGGCCTTGATAGCATAAACAAGAGAGAAGTTGGATAGAAGAAAAAGGCAAAAGGCTCTAATGCAGTCACTTAACTGTAATTAATGCCCTCAGTGGTTAAGTTCTGGTATTTTCATTACAGCTGACTTTAGACCCAAATTATTCAACAACCACATCTTACTGGCTGTTTTGCCATTTCCCTCCCCGTAATGCTGTGATGTGTACAGTGGGTGATGGTTAATTGTAGTTTTAGTAATAGACATTTATTACTTTACTATACCTCTTATATTTTCCTTACTTTCCTTGTTTCATGCTGTTTATATGAATACCAAAGCCACCTTGTGTGTTTTTTCAGGGCAATATATGGTATCACCATATTTTTATGGCGTAGTTTTTTTTTTTTTTTTTTTTGTTAGGAAGATTAGCCCTGAGCTAACATCCATTGCCAATCCTCCTCTTTTTGCTGAGGAAGATTGGCTGTGAGCTAACATCTGTTCCCCTCTTTCTCTAGTTTATATGTGGGACACCTGCCACAGCTTGGCTTGACAAGCGGTGTGTAGGTCCACGCCCAGGATCTGAACCTGTGATCCCCGGCCGCTGAAGCGGAATGCACGAACTTAACCGCTATGCTACCAGGCTGACCCTAGGGTATAATTTTAACGGCATTCTATGTCCTGCACACAATTTATATAAAGCCAACTCTCTGTCTCCCAAAGAGATGTCATTTGAAAATTGGAAACCAAAGAGATGGACATATCCTATATAGTTTCTTTAAAAGGCAATAGTCGGGAAGCACAACCATTGGTCAAACTGCAAAAACTCTATTGGTATTTGTAGGCATGATTAAATCATAAGACAGAAAAAATAAAAAAATAAAAAAAATAAATAATAAAAAAAATGGGACCAGCCCGGTGGTACAAGCAGTTAAGTGCCCACGCTTCGCTGTGGCGGCCTGGGGATCACTGGTTTGGATCCCGGGCGTGCACCGACGCACCAATTGTTAAGCCATGCTGTGGCGGTGTCCCAAATAAAGTAGAGGAAGAAGGGCACGGACGTTAGCCCAGGACCAGTCTTCCTCAGCAAAAGAGAGGAGGATTGGCATTGGATGTTAGCTCAGGGCTGGTCTTCCTCACACACACACACACAAAATAAATAAATAAATAAATCATAAGACAGAATGCAGTGAGGCAAGTGTTCAAACAGTTATGAAGAAGTCATAAAATGCAGTAAGCTTCATGTAGTCACATGATGAAAGAGGTTCCTAATCGCCAAAATGTGAACTTAAATTAAGTAACTGGCTTTTGAGAATGGCAAAGAGGAGGGAATCAAGGCAAGTGTCTGCCTTTCCAGACCTTGTGCCAACCTCAGCTATGACTGCAGGCTGGGACGCTGGCTTGTTGCTCCTGACTTCCCACACATGAAGCTCACTCCTACCTTGATATCAGCACAGTGGGTGTCAGGGAGCTGCAAGAGGGATGTGTATTAGAAGCTGTTTCTTGCCACCCCTAGAACATGCTGATGATCTCTCTGGGTTTCCACTGCAATATACAGATGTGCACAAGAGCAGCCTGAGCAGTTGAATTCAAATTGACTCCTCCCCCTTGCACCACTCTCTCCTACCCTGGGCATATTTAGCATCACCTGGTGACTGTCCAGAACCCCTATGACTGCTCACTGAGTGGATTTCTTGGTGCCTTTAATTCCTGCCCGGCCCCTGAGAACCCAGGGGCTGTGAGAAAAGCCAGTATTTGTGTTTCCAGGGGCTTTGCAGAAGTGCTAATTAGCTCCTTCACAAAGTTCTATAATCAAACAGTAAGAGGATTGTCGATTTTTTCCCTCCCCTCCTCCTCCTTTTTGGCTTTTCACTGCAATAATAAGTATGGTTCATAAAACTCATCTTGTTCTTTGGCGCGTGACCCCGCTCTGGGCCGTGCTGCTGGCAGCCCCACAGGGGCAGCTGCTCCCAGGCGGCTTCTGACCGAGAACCCTGACAATAGTGTCCTCTTTCTCTGCCTCCTCCTTCCTCATTCTTCTTGGGAGCAAGTGTAGGTTTTTTTTTTTTCTTTTTTCCTTCAGAAAGATGGGGATTTCTAATGACGATGAAAACATTTGTGCCTCAAAGACTGAGGGGAAGACAGATTGACTTTTCAATGTATTATACTCCAATGAAAGCCACTCTTAATTCACGTTCCAAAAGAAAAGATTTATGTGGGCACATTTTACAACTTCCCGGTGTATTATTGTTTCATGTGGGTGAGCACTTTACACTTAGTGTGAAGAAAGAAGATTCAAACATAGAAGGAAGAGAGCACCGTTGTGTAGATAGGGGTTTGGATGAGTGTAAATCTCAGTATAGAATTAAGTGGAGCGTGGATGCACACTTTCTTGATTTAGGAGATGCTGATGTGGCATTTTCTTTACTCATCAATTGACTAGCCTTCGCTCGTGCACTAGCTTCTGGGTTGTGGCCTCTCTCTGAAGGTGACTGGATACCAGGATACTTCCACTGATGATTTTGATGGGCTGATGCAATAGACTAGCCTCAGGTGAGGGGCCAGGATTACTGTCACCCTCAGATCTCCCGTTTTTATCTGACTCTCAGCCCAGCACTTGCTTCCCTGAGTAGCAAACAGACAAACTGAAAGGCTCCTTGCAATTTCTTGAGAGCTTGGCTGTTTTGGTAAAAGTTGATGTTTGTTTTACATTCATGTTACTTATTAGACACGTGTCTAGAGGCCCAAGCATTGGACACTTCTTAAATAAATTCAGCTAGTAAACAAATTCACAGAGCAAGTCAGCTGCCAGGATTATGGCGCAGAATTTCCCAACTCAAGGTCTCATGGTGCTGATCATTGGGAACTGGAACTCCCATCCTTTGAATGAAACGACATATTCAGAACACACCAGTAAATTCAGTATTATTTTTTCATTCACAGATATAACATCATTTCCTTGTCTGGCTTGTCCAGGTCTTAAAATGATATGCTGCTAAAATAGTTCAAGATAAAATCTGACATATTCCTTATTATCTGATTTTTTGTTGTTCTGATCATGGAATTATCTGGTTATTTAGAAGTCGTATATAAACAATCTCAGCAAACTTTATCAATCACTAAGTATGTTCTTTCGTATAAAAACACGTTAAATTCAGTTGATCTTCCGAGTTTTTTGTGTCATGTGATTTCAAAATATTAATAATGTTCTTTAGTTTTAAAGCATCTTTTTTCCCTAGTGATTTTATGGGTTTTTAAAAAATTTTTTTATTGAAGTCATAATAGTTTTTATTTTATTAATTTCAGTCATACGTTATTGTCAGTTACCATAGGAATGAGCCCCTTCATCTCTTGTGGCCACTCCCAATCACCTTCCCCTGGCAACTGCCAAACTGTTCTTTCTGTCCGTGTATTAGTTCATCTTCCACATATGAGTGAAATCATATGGTGTTTGTCTTTCCCTTTCTGACTTATTTTGCTTAACATAATACCTTCAAGGTCCATCCAGGTTGCAAATGGGATGATTTTGTCTTTTTTTATGGCCGGGTGGTATTCCATTGTATATATACCACATCTTCTTTATCCAGTCATCAGTTGATGGACACTTGTGTTGCTTCCACGTCTTGGCTATAGTGAATAATGCTGCAATGAACATAGTGGTGCATAAGCCTCTTTGGATTGTTGATTTCAAGTTCTTTGGATAAATACCCAGTAGTGGGATAGCTGGGTTGTATAGTGTTTCTATTTTTAATTTTTTGAGAAATCTCCGTACTGTTTTCCACAGTGGCTGCACCAGTTTGCATTCCCACCAGCAGCGTGTGAGGGTTCTTTTTTCTCCACAACCTCTCCAACATTTGTTATTTTTTGTCTTGGTGATTATAGCCATTCTAACGGGTGTAAGGTGATATCTTACTGTAGTTTTGGTTTGCCTTTCCCTGATGATTGGTGATGTTGAACATCTTTTCATATGCCTCTTGGCCATCTGTATATTTTCTTTGGAAAAACGTCTGTTCACATCCTCTGCCCATTTTTTGATCGGGTTGTTTTTTTGTTGTTCAGTTGTGTGAGTTCTTTATATATTATGGGGATTAACCCCTTGTCAGATATATGACTTGCAAATATTTTCTCCCAGTTGGTGGGTTGTCCCTTCATTTTTATCCTGGTTTCCTTTGCCTTGCAGAAGCTCTTTAGTCTAATGAAGTCCCCCTTGTTTATTTTTTCTTTTGTTTCCCTTGTCTGAGTAGACATGTTATTTGAAAAGATCCTTCTAAGACTGATGTCAAAGAGTGTACTGCCTATATTTTCTTCCTGAAGTTTTATGGTTTTAGGTCTTACTTTCAAGTCTTTGATCCATTTTGAGTTAATTTTTGTGTATTGCAAAAGATAGTGGTCTACTTTCATTCTTTTGCATGTGGCTGTCCAGTTTTCCCAACACCATTTATTGAAGAGACTTTCCTTTCTCCATTGTATGTTCTTAGCTCGTTTGTCAAAGATTAGCTGTCCGTAGAGTTTATCATTTTTAATTTAATTTAATCCTTCTATTAATTGTTCAAAAGGTCAGTGATCTCTAGGAGGTATATAACTTAGCTCTGAATCAGGATACAAAAAACAAGCTTTTGGGTAAAAAAGAGATTAAAAATAGACGTTATGAAAATTATGTCCCCCTTTTTCCCCCATAAGCAAAAATTATAGGAGAGACAGGAAAAACCAAGCTATCAATCTAGGTGAAAAAAAGAGATTTTAGGTCTAAGTAAGGCATGTACCATGATCAAATAAAATTATACTTGGAAAAAAAAATCTCTTTTTGAATATTTTATTCCTGAAACATAGCATTTTAAATTCACATTTAATGTTTTTGATTCCTTTCAGCAATTTTACCCGAAATAAACTGACGAGTTTGTCTAGGAAACATTTCCGTCACCTTGACTTGTCTGAGCTGTAAGTAATGATTATATGTGGCATTTGGGGAAGAAATTTCAAAGGAAAGGGTAATTAAGTATTTTTTAAATGACTGGTGCTACAAATCTATTTTTATATCAAAATTTCTGAAAAATGATTTCTCAAGTTTTGGCCACTTGTTCTTTTATTTCCTCATGAAGATATGATTCAGTAATAAAGAAATAGAAATCTCAATGGTAATATATCATTTATGTGAGTTTGAATGTTGTTTTACATAAATGATTTGTTTTCTAATGGAGGGAAAAAGAGAAAAAGACAGAGGCTTTGTGTTAAAATGGCGACATATCTCATAGCATCTGTTTGGTCCCTGTTATGTCCAGGCCCTAATGGAAAGGAAACTCATTCAAGGAGGAAGTAACAATGGGAAAAACTCCCCAGTTTTTATCCCCCAACCCCAGTGCTGGCTTAGTGAACACTGGAGGAGGGTAGTCCTTCTCCCTTCCCACCCATCTGCGTGAGATTTTCTTCTAGGTCTGCCACTGCATTCAGTATTTATCCTTATGCCCTAATTTCCTTTGCTGTAAAATGATAAGAAAAATATTGAACTGTGTTGGTGACTAATAGCCAGCATTTCCAAGTGGGCTCGATTTTTTGTGTTATCACTATGAAACAAATACAAACTGTTGCTGTTCCTTTGGCTAAAGTACCCAAAGAACCCTAAGGCAGAGGCTCTGTGGGGCAGAGGGGGGCCCAGGTGGACAAGGCCTTTGAATACCAGGCGGTGGCTTTTGCTTAAACTGTGTGTTGCCTGAGTTGTAGGGTCCACCCCTCTTCACAAGGAAATTGTGCAGATTAGAAGATGCCATTAGTGGAGAGACAACAAGTTAATAGGTAGTATTGAGTGTTACTTGATGAAAGTCTCGGAGACTGGCGACTATTTGGAATAAACTAAACTCAGGGCGTTGAAGCACTAGCTTTCTATGACAAGAATAAACATGAAAAACTTAAGGAAGATATGTAGAATAGAATAAAATACTCTGTAAAAATCTGGAGTATCACTGCAGAAAATTTTCTTGATTAAAAATTAGAGTTCTGATTTCAAATTCACGTCTCGATATTTTCCCTGCTGAATATTTAATCAATTCATTCAACAAATGTTAATTGTGTGCCTATTACAAATTAAACTAACATGGCACTAGGCCATGGGGATATAAGGAGCTTCTGTGTTCCAGGATTCTGCTATCCAGTGGGAGAGAGAGAAGCCGAAACAGATAAGTGTGTGTGGTGTAGCAACCACTGCAGAAGGGGTTTGCACAACGAGCCAGAGGAAGAAGCCTGCTGTGTGCCAGTGTTGTGTGGTCATATGAGCATTGCTGTATTTATAACTGAAGGTCCCTTTTCTTCTTTATCCTTTCTGTAGATTCAATCATACCTTCTTTTTAGAAAGACTCTTTAGGTTTTCACATACTCAGAATGCCAGGAACCATCTTGAGTTAGTGGGGTTTGAAGATTGTGGATCTCTTCTGCATTATAGTCCATAGTCCAGTAGCATCAAATCCTGTTTTGGTGTTGGAGAGATACTTGGAGGCCATCAAACAGACGCAAATTAAACGAGTCTTCCATGACCACATTTTCCTCAAAGAAACTCCCAGAAAAGTCTCCTGAGATTCTAAGAACCCAACCAGAAAACCACAGGAGTAAATAATGTTGCAAAGCCCGGGTCCTGTCCTCATGGAAATCTGAAGTGTTGTGGTTAATGCCAGGCAGAGCCTATGTAACGATTTTAAATGGCCTCATTTAAAGATTCATTACCATAAATGGAATTCATCTTAAATAGGCCACTGAGTATTATAAATAAGCATTGAAAGATTTTTTTTCTGTGGTTTTTATTTTCCTCTTGACTACTTCCTCTTTCACCAATCGCAGACCACAGGAGGTTGGGCAGTGCGGCTGAGTGGTGGCTTCCTCTTTGCAGACCCTCCCACAGTGGGCGAAGAGGCTTAATATGGAGCTCAGCTGCCCTTGCTTTCAGAAACCTTGAGCGTGTTGCGTGTGTGTGTGTGTGTGTGTGTGTGTGTATGCGGGAAGGCTAAGAGCTCCCTTCCAGGTTCTGTCTCTCACATTCACTCTCGCTGTCTTGCATCAATCAAATTGAACCATGGTTGCATAATGCAGACAGCTCAGAGCTACCCTCTTGGCTCTCGCACTTTAGCCTTGCATTTACAGTCTCATTTTCAGTTAAGATGAAATTGCTCTGTCCCCCACTGAAGTCTGAGCTTATTAAGTGGTAACACTTCAATCTCTAGCCTGGTCAGAAATAAGTGTGCTCACGTTCCTGAAAACTTATTGTTGGCATCTTCACTTAAGATCCTCGTAGTAACTATATAATAACTGCGATAAATTTGTTATGGCACCTTATTTTTCCCCATCTTAGGAGACATCATTTTCCATCCTATATTATAGCTATTTTTGTTCCTAACTTGTTTCCCCTATTGTTCTGAAAGGCCCTACATCACTTTGCATCCTTTAGCCTCTACAGTGGTGTTTTCACATAGCAGAATCTCAGTAAGTATTAGATAAATAAATGAATAAGTACTGTCATGCTTTAAAGGTGAGTATGACTTCCACAGATTGCTGGCTAGAAATAATTCATAATGTTGTAGTGCTTCCTAAACACTGGTGTAGTTAACAACTAAAAAGGAGAAGCCTGATTGGGTTTCATTTTTGTTCTATGTAGGATCCTGGTGGGAAATCCATTTACATGCTCCTGTGACATTATGTGGATCAAGACCCTCCAGGAGACTAAATCCAGTCCAGAAACTCAGGATTTGTACTGCCTAAATGAAAGCAGCAAGAATATTCCCCTGGCAAACCTGCAGATACCCAACTGTGGTAATTTACTTTTAAATCAATGATTTCTAGTTGCTATTAATTTTTCTAATTGCCTTGGTGTAGTAGCGAGTCTGGGAAGATCACCACTACCCAGATTTTATACAGTATGCTCTTAATGTCTCCAGTGAGTCGGGCAACATTTGTGTGCAGTGTGGAGAAATCAACTGGGAGCAACGTTGCTGAATATTCTTTGCAAGTAGAATATTAGTTTTGAATGGAAGACTTTAAAGTGCATAGAGAAAAAAGTACACTGTTTATTCCTTTCTTTCTTTGTTCATTTGTTTGTATCATCCATCCATCCATCCATCCATCCATCCACCATTCAAAAAATATCTGCTAATAACGTGGTACTTCACTGGCCACATATATACTTAGTTGGCACCCAGGCCACGTAGAGGGAAGGATCTCAGGATGATACAGTGTCCTGGCTGCACAAGAAAATGCAGTTAAATCCAGCACATTACCTTAAACTTGTCTTGCTGCCAGATGTCTGTGTCTCTTGATGGGACACCACAAATCTGCCCTCACACATGATTTTCCCCATGTCTGGCTTTACGATCTCCTCCTTTGCTCCTCCCCCACTCCTTCCCTCAGCATCTGCAGCTCCAGAATTTAAAAGGGCACCATATGATAAACTCACAGCTCTCTGTGAGTGCCAGTGTGTTTACAAAGAAGGAAAATCCAAGTGTTGTGGTTAGGATTTTACTGCTACGGGCTTCTGTGACACACCTCTACAGTACCCACAGGCATATTATTCCTCTGTTGAAATTGTAATCAATTAGTCAACCAGTTAATCGGTTCACAATTATATCTCATCTTCTGGCCTACTAGCTGGTGACACAGCAGAAAGCCATGTAGCACCTGGTTCTCGTCCACGAGGAACCTCTATATTAACCATAAACTTCTGATTCTTTGTTTTCAGAAGACCCTGTTGTTTGGGGTCCATTTTTATTTAAGGAAAATATAGCTGCTGCTCACTTTTAGTGAGAATGTAATAAAAGGAAAGATAAGTGTTTGTTTCTTACCCTGAAGGGGCTTAGAAGACAACACGTACCCTTCCCACAGATTTTTCTGTCATAGCTGGAGCCCTTTAGCTTCATAATGGGGGAATCAGGCTTTGTTTCCTTGCCAACTTCCCCTCAGCCTTCTTTGTTAGCCAGCACTTAAAAAGGAGCTTTTAATATATATCTTTTCCTGATTGATAAGTGGATAACCATTCTCTGTTCTGGCATAAACTTGCACCACTGCGAGAAACTGCCTAAAGGGACAAGAAATTCAATGTTGAGTCACCTGGCCTCTTGGCCAGCTCCCAAATCCCCATGGCTGTGGTGACCACATTGGTTCAGCAACCACTGAGAGGAAAAAAAGAGACTGCATCTGACTCCTGCTCTGATTTCACAAACAGCCTCTTAATAAATGTCTGCTTTGCCCTTGCCTGAAACCAATCTTATTTTTTTTATTTTAATTTTTGGCCATGTTGTCTTGACAGCATTCTGGTAATGCACCCACCTAATGTGTTGTGGAGAGACCGTTGTGATTGAAGTAGGGGAAGGGGAGGAGCGAATTGGTCCTAATTTTTCCTGATCAATTTGTCAATTTTCAATAATTTTTAATTTGTTTCCTACAAATTAGTCAATGAATTGAGTGTATGAGAGTGAGACTTTGAATCCACTGTCAGAGGGCATGCGTTTGATTGATCTATTAGGACTAAATGGTTACATTCATGCTAACGTACATTCATGCTAACGTTCACAATTAATTTCAACGTCAACCATGTTGTTCAAAAAGCAACATTATAAAAGGTGAATTGATAGACTTATTTTTCTACCAGTTTTGTATTTTTAAACTATTTTGTTATTTTTCTGTTAATTTTTATTTTCTTTCCAAGTGTTTTTTAGTTATTTATAATTGTGCAAATAATGCTGATACATTTTGTTGTAAAAATAACTTCCTATATTGCACTTAAAGCTTGTCTATTTCTTGCTTGTGACCATTTTGGGTCAGTAATCATAGATCTATCATATTCTTTTTAATTTTGCTTGGTATTCATGGTAGAATATACCTTAATTATGTTAAATCTTCCGTATTGATAGGCATTTAGTTTATTTCCTATTTTTCTTTACTACAAAAATGTTTCAACAAACATCCTTCTGTATGCTCTTTGTGCATATGCACAAATGCAAAGATTTTTCTAGAATACATAGCAGGAAGTAGAATTTTTGGTTTATATGGTTTGCACATTAGAAAATGGTCGTACCAATTTATAGACACCCTAGCAAAGCATACCTTGATATTAGCAAACTTTTTATTTTTTACCTTTCTAAAAAATGGTATGTCATTGCTTTTTAGTTTGCATTTTCCTGATTAGTATTGAGTATATTCTATGTTTACTGGACATTGTGTTTATTCTTCAGTGAACTACCTGTTTATATACTTTGTCTATTTTTCTATAGTGTTTTTCCTTTTCTTCCATTGATAATCTTCTTTGTTTTATTTTTTTCTTATTTGCAAGTTATGAATTATGTTTCTGTTTTTGTAAATATATAATGCCAAAATATTTACCACACATATTTAAACATATTTTCTGTAAGTATCTAGAGACAACCCCCAGCAAGATAAGAAAAGATACTTTTACTTCCCTTTACTTTCTCTTTCCATCTCTCAGATTGTTATCATCTGGGATTTTATTTTTAGATTACTTAACTTTTTTGAAGATTTACAGTTTCTTTGCATATCATTGATTTTTGTATCCTACTACTTCCTTTTGGAGTGATTTTTCTGTTTACTGGAGTATAGCCTCTGATATTTCTTTCAGAGAAATTTAAAAAATAATATCTTCAAGTTCTGGCTTGTATTTTTTCTTCTCAACGGAATTGACTGAGTATAAAATTCTAGACTCACAATAACTTCCTCTGAGAGCTTTGCAGATATTGTACCGTATTCTCCTTGTGTTCCGTGTTGCTGATTAGAAGCCCCAGGCCAGTCTGATGCCTATTTCTTTTTTTTTTTTCTTTTGTGAGGAAGACCGGCCCTGAGCTAACATCCACTGCCAATCCTCCTCCTTTTTCTCCCCAAAGCCCCACTAGATAGTTGTATGTCATAGTTGCACATTTCTCTAGTTGCTGTATGTGGCACGCGGCCTCAGCATGGCCGGAGAAGTGGTGCGTCGGTGCGTGCCCGGGATCTGAACGCGGGCCGCCAGCCGCGGAGCGCGAGCACTCAACCGCTAAGCCACGGGGCCAGCCCCTGATGCCTATTTCTTGATAGGTAACCTATGCTTTTCTTTTCCTTCTAGAAGCTTTTAAGATTTTCTCCTTATCCATGTTATCCTTAAATTTTACCACAATGTAACCAGGTGTGTGTGTATGTTTTTAAAAATTTATTCTGTTTGCCATGCAATGTACTCTTTCAATATGAGTGTTCATGTCTTCAGTTCTGGAAGACTTTTCTAATTCATTTAGGTGGATATTTACCCTTCTGGCTCCACCCTCCATACCTCTCAACCTTCTGTAATCCTTTCCATCTGCTTGTCCTTTTGTGCTACATTCTGGGAGAATTGGTTTACTCGCTACTTTGCCCTTCAGCTATTTCTCCAGCTACTGAATGTCTCCCTTCCAAAATCAATTTTTAATTTCCGCAATCTCTAGTGATTGACTTTTTATGACTGGAACACCCTTCTCCATATCGGGGTTCACCATGTCTCCAGGGTATCACCAGCACCCTGATTTTCTCCTGTCCAACTCCCACACTCATTGCTTCTACCTGGAGGTAGCTACAGGTGCTGCTAGATGGATGCTTTGCCCAAGGTGGAAGGGTAGGGGTGGGACGAGGAAAGGTTATTCCTCTAGTTGCTTCTAGTCTTTTTCTTAACCAGCAACCCTGTGGCTTGCCATAGGTGGGCTCCCCTCTGCCCCGCAGTCTGTCCCTTCAGTCTGGGGTCAGCCTAGAACCTCCTGCAGCACATATTTCTGGGGCTGTGCTGTTTTTCTTTAATCCCATTTCCCCTTTCTCTTGTTCAGGGGTTCCTCCTAGTTTCTTACCCACCAGCAGTATGCCTTCTTGTTTTGCAACATGGTTCTGCATTTTTTAAATAATTTATGTAATAACTAGAGATTTGAGATGAGAGGGGGAGACTTCTGTTTGGGGCTTGGTCGTGTATTAGTTTTCTTTATGATGGTTTCTCAACTTTGGTTCTTTAAAGCGAAGTTAGACAGATTGAGCAGGAAATTATATTAGATTGTTGGATTTAAATTCTGTCTCTGAAATTCCATGTTGAAGAAATTAGATAATACGCTAATATCTTCAAGTTAGATGTCTTGTTTAAAACATGGATTCATGGTCAGTTGGCTTTTCATCTAGATCTTTCCCTTTGCAAACTTTTGAAACTTATCTGTTGTGTTTAAGTCACAGATTCATGGAGTTCATCTTATTTACTTTTTTTTTTTTTTTTTTTGGTGAAACTTGGAAGCTAACTCTAGGAGTAGCTCATGAGATTATGGTCTTGTGTGTTTCATCGTTGTAAACCAACAATTTGCCAACAACTATGGCCATTGCATTTAGCTTACCACTGCTAATATTATAATTTCAATTAAAAGGAGCTATTGGGATTTCATTCCGTTATAAGCTGGGTTTTAGTTAAAAACTTCCCCTTTTAGTATTTCCTTATGTAGGCATTATATGGTGAACAAGTTGTCTACGTTTTATAAGCAAATATGCATACTCTATGGTGTCTCATGTATCCCTTGGATGTAACAGGCATTTGATTACTGTTTGCTGAATTGATCAATTAATAAATGCGTGAACCATATTATATTAGTGATCAGATTGGACTAGATTTTTAATATAATGGTGTGGATATTTCAGTTAAGCAAAGATAACTTAAACATTTATATTATTCTAGCCAAATTAGTCCATATTTTAGCATTTTGTAGTTCCCTTTGAAATTTCTGTCATCATTGCATTTTGAAAGAATCTCATTTTTGTTTAGTGATGAAGTGAGC